CCAGATTCTTCTGGATTTGTAGCCAAAGACAACACACCAAAGTTTTCCTAAAATGTATTCACTCAGCAGATTTTCAAGCCAAGAACCGAAGGAAACTGTCATTCAGGCCTGCCCGCCACAAAGCTTTGGAACAACGGATAAACTTACTTTGTCCTGACGAGCTTCCGCAGCATAATGATCCATCCTATGAAATTTTCTTCTTCTTTTCTTGGGAGGAGCAACTGGTCTTTCCTGTCTCCTCTTAGGGGCAACTTTCCTCTTAGGCCTCTTAGCCGGAGCAAGAGATGAGCCATAACTACTCTCCTGTACTGGCGGATAGAGAGGTCTGGCCTCAGAAGTCGTCTGTCCCTCTGGGCCAGATCATTAAGCTCACGCTTGGCTCGCTGGGCTCAGCAGTCAGGAAAACTAAGGCTCCTCGGGTGAGGAAAAGCTAGCCTTCGGGGTGAGTTAGGTACTCAGTAAAGAGAACTCTCCCGAATCAATCTTGCTGCTGCAATCGCAGCTTCATCACTGAGAACAAGAATATAGTTCATGAGAACCCAGTCACTTGCTGGCTACGAGCCTGCTCATGGGTAGATTGGAGGATGCCATAGACGGTCTATGCTCCATAATTCCTCCTACAGTAGGGAGAGGCTGGTCCTTGGCTTTGAAACGTTCTAGTTTAAAACAGAACCAGAATACTAGGACTTTAGTCACTTCAAGGTGACTAGGTCCACGTAGGAGGTTCCAATTCGGGATGTGGTGGGCATCTGTTCACTCCCGCAAAGCAATGGTCACCTTTATTGACAAATACCAGAGGGGGAAACTAAGAGGCCATTGAGGGAGGGAAGCATCATTATAAGCAACCTTTCTCAATCATGAATGGATGTCACAAACTGGGACTTACAGTAGGCTAGAGAACTTCTAGAATCCTGAGAATTTCGCCTTCCGGTACAGAGGAAGGCCAAGCCCAGGAATGACCACAGGTAGAACCTCTCTTGAAAATTCTCTTTGGAAATTAAGTTCAAGTTAAAAGTCATCGAGTTCTCTTGACCTTGGTGTACAGACCAAGAGTCTACTTACATGCTATCAGAAACGCCCTATCGGGATGTGGGAGAGGCAATGTTATGCTTAAAAATTTTTTTTTTAATTTTAAATCCAGACAGCAGTACAGGCTGACACAGACTGGGAGGAAGGGCGATAGCCTTTGATGACTTGTCATTGCTGGGGGACATCAGACCCCTGATTTGCTGATGGTGCAAAGGTGAACTGAAGCTGCAAGCTCTGCTATCTAGCTAGCTGACTTCTCGAGGCTGAAGGAGCGGTTCAGAGTCATTCAGATGCAAGGCGGGCAGGAGGAGTACCAAGGTTAGTGGATCCGAGGAGGGCTCGGGCCATGCGATCTCGCACTGTTCCCAGGCAAAGCGGCTGCAAAGGCACTTCCGTTTCTGTCCCATCCTCTCTGTCCAGTGGAGCGATTAAAAGGCACAGCCCCACCGATCTGGTTTAGTTTGGGTTTGGGTTTGCTTTGGATGCTTCGAGGTTTAGGCAAATCTCCATGGAAGAGCAGCAAAAGGAAGAAGAGGGTTTCCATGACATGGTCACTGAACACATTCCGCTAGCGCTCAACTCGGCCCATCAGACTCTAGGCCTTTTGGCAAGAGAACTCAACATTCCGGGAGCCTCAAAGGCGAGCCTTCCAATGGCAGCGGGTTAAAGGAGCAGCAGAGGGGTGGGGGGGGTGGGGGTGGGGGGGAAGGCAGGGTTTAGCCAGATGGGTTTTCATCCAGTGACTACATGGCGCGGATTTCCCCCTTCGAATGTTAGAGGTAGACGAAAGCGAAGTTCTCATCAACCAGCCATACTTCAGCCTGACTGGACAAGATTTTAGCCTGCGGTTATTAAGTATGGAGAGGGAGAGGGGCAAACTGCCCTGCTTTTCAGAAGGATCCTTTGCCAACTGAAGCTAAGAACTAGCCAGCCAAAGCTCTGCCTCTAGACCTGGAAGAGCAGCCCAAAGAGGGGTCACAGAGAGAGCGTAGAAGATAAAAAAAAAGATTGTGCCAATAATCAAAAGCAAGCATATTTTTGGAACATTCACCATTACACTATGAAACCAGGAGTAACACATCTTGATGCTAAGTCTCAAAGTCTGGTCATCTCAGTTTACCGCCCTTGAGTGTAATCAGGAAAAGGGGAAAAATTGCACTCAAATATCAGATGACAGAAGCGCCACGGCCCACAGGTCCACTCTTCTTCGTGTGGCACACAGCATTTTGCTAGAAAGAGTTATTTTGATTAAACATCAAACACAAGGTATTTTCTCATTTTTTAAATTAACAAGACCACATTTGTGATTTTTTAAATAGCCTTTCAGTTTATATAACCTTGACACATCCCACAAACATCATGACATAGGCTAATTGGTCTGCTACAGAAGAGAAATTTTGTCGCTTTGATTTTGTGTTTTAAATATGCACACTATCTTGATTTTCCTTTTTCTGAAAATAAGATTTCGGGAACCCAGTGAGAAATAGTTGCAACCTAGAAACGGCCTTTGTCTTATGACAAGCAATTGTTCAGGTTAACACCATGAAAGATACTCAAAGGTATCTAAACAAGAGTGGCTTCCCCAGTGGTTATCACAGAATATATCTCTGGCTACAACATATAGTGATATTGAAAAGAACATGAAGCATCGCCAATATTTTACTTCAGAATACCATGGCAGGGGGACTCCAGTGTGCATATTTAAGAGCTGCCCTGGGCATACAATCACCAATTAAGCAGATTAAAACATTCAATATCGTGCTTCAATTAGTAATTGCTCAGTATTTTAAGGAAGTAAAATAAAAGGACTATCATTTCACTTCTTCATTAAGCACACACACAAATCAGCCATTGCAATTCATTACACACATCTGAAATCCAAAGAAGCTGCTTAGAAAAAGACCATGTGTTCTTATCATCAACCTAACATTTTAAAGGAAATGAAGACATGACAGTTATGCCACATCAGTATTGTAAAAAATCCAATTCTGACACCAAGAAAAAGTTCGGTCCAGTTGGGACCTATGTACTAACTGGCTGACCGCTTGGTTGACCGCACATAGGTTGCAGAAGGGCACAATGGCCCCAACGGGAGCAATCTCACCTGGGAATTGAAGGTCCGGAGCTCTGTCTCCCAAGTTCACCACTTCCTAGCCACATGACCTGACCAACCCTCAAACCTCTCAAAATACCTCTCTCCCTCCTTTTTTTGTTGTTGTTGTTAATCATTTTATTGGGCGCTCAACCAACTCTTATCACAATCCATACAGACATCCGTTGTGTCTAGCACCTTTGTACATATGTTGCCATCATCATTTTCAAAACATGTCCTTTCTACTCGACCCCTTGGTATCAGCTCATTTTCCCTGTACCCTCCCTCCCTCAATGAACCAACCCTTGATAATTTATAAAAGAACCACTATAGCGCTGTCAGTCTTGCCTGCCTCACTGGGTCTTTTCAGAGATTTTATAACCAAAGTTGGAATTTAAATCAGGTGCATGGAACTGCTCAATTGTTTTTTGTTTGGTTGAGATTACTTTTCATTTTTGTTGTCTTACCATTTTAATAAAATGTGGTCCTGTGTTTGCTTTAGATTAATCTCAAAGCTTAATCTTTCCCAGCAAAATAAGATGTGTTTCATGCAGACAACTATTTATCTCAACTTATCGTTTGTGTTTCATAATCAACAGCAACAATAATTGAACCAAAGGGCTAGAGAAAAAGAGGGCTGGGCTCAAGTGAACCCCCATGATTTAAGAAAAACTAAGAATAGTTTTGTGTAGACATTAGTTTCTAGTGCTTAAAAATCAAATCGCCGCAGAAATGGTTATTTTCAGACCGTGTTAAAAGTACTCAGAAAAACGTATGGCTCAGTATTTACGAGCTTTATGTAGACATATGCCAGTTCCCTCAGAAGTACTTAAACCAAGATATATCTATCTCTCTCACTCATCACCGTGCAGAGTGCAGTGAAGTGAGCGGTGGTCAACATTTGTCGGAGACTTTTAGAAGACCAAGAGTCTGTTTTTTTTTAAAGTAAGTTCTCATCCAAAAGCAAGTGTTACGACTGATGTAGACCTCACCACCCATTAAGAAGGGTGAATGCCCTTTAAAATGTGCTCAGGTTTACATGTGCAAAGTCGATCATGTTTTCAAATAAGTGAAGCTGCACTTCCCGAAAGATTCCATTTCAATGATGGGAAAGAACATTACACACACACACACACAGTTCCTAAATTTGAAGTTACATTGGACATTCCCTGACACATACGTTGTTCTCTACTACGATTCCTGAGTATCGATCGATGCTGTTTGTTAAACAGATTTATTAAATGGCGTATCCCTCTCAATTTAGAACTCGTTTCACTTTGGGAGGCGGGCAGTGATGAAAAGGTTTACACTTTTTATTGTGTCCATTGTTTCCCAGGCATAGACACTTCTCAACGTTTATTAAGTAAAAGTGTCCGATGCTTTAAGATTTGGCAAGTTGACTGGCCTTGCTAAAGCTACTTTCCAGACTCACTCTGAGGGAACAAAACGGTTAGTGTTGCCCATTGGACCTCCACATTCCTCTGCCTCCCACCTTCCACCTGCTGACGGAGCCCAGCTAGGCTGGGAGACGCTTCCATTCCCATGAACACCGAGCTCAGGACACGTCTCAACACCAAATCAATCTGCAAAGCAAGTTCATGCAAGAGGCATAGGCAGCTTCAGATTTTTTAAATGTTCTGAGTCTTGTAACGGTTGATTAAGAATAAACCTTAGAGAGACAAACTGTCCAAGAGATGCTGCAGAAATCCTGGCATGAGGCCGGTAGACCGGGGAGCCTGGGACACAGGTTCTCCTCCGGCAGAGGGGAAGTTACTAACCTCGGAGCCAAAGGGGCCGTATTTGTGTCCAGCGAAATCAGGTTGCTCCGAATAGAAGGCATAGACGGAAGGCCTGTGGGGAAGCCAGGGCTCAGAGTCTCTCCAACAGCACACACAAACAGCACCTATCTCTACACGCTTTCAAAAGGAAGTAATCTCCCCAACCACTGTTCTTTATCTGGTGGGAAACTCTTCTCTCTCTTTTCACTTTATTTCTTTTTAGTCTTATTGCTTCCACAATTACTAGCCCCTCCCCTTTCCTAGCCTCACTGTAGTAACTGCCTTTTACCATCAAGAGTCAAAAGCCCCAGAAGAGACAACCCCAGGGTAGTCAGGTCTCTGATCCCCAAGACAACAGAGCCCAGTCCAGTGATAACTCACAGGGGCCAGTCGATCCAGAGGCTGGAGAACGACTCCTTCAAGGTGAGCATCAGTCTTACTGTTTCCCTACTTCTTGACTGGTGCCCTTATCAAAGCCAAGAACACTCCCTGAAGTGCTGATGCCACGACTAGGATTCATTGCCGCAGTAATCCATGTAATTAAATGGTCCCCAATAACCAAAGTTCACTGCATCCTTCTTAGAGATGCAATGCTTACAGGGAAGAACCATAAAAGGTTTCATAATGGCAAGCCTTGGCGGCAGCTCTGTTTCACAGTCCATCTGGTTTGTCACCAACTCTGGCCTAATTGGAAATGTACTGAAGGCAGCAGGGGTAAAGACGGGGAGAGGGAAAACCCAAATACCTCTCGTTGTCTGGCAGGGTGAGCCACTGCAGGATGGTCAATATTCTCCGTTCGTGCGGAATGACCCTGCAAGGCAAGAACAAGCACAGCGTGTTGTTAAGTTGCATCCCCACCAAGCCCAGAGGTTGAGTGCTTGCCCTTCTTGCACACAGGCCAAGGGCAGTCAGTTTCCCACCATCTGTTTTCACTTCAGAGCAAGCAAAAGGCCCTCTTCAGCCTTTACACTTCCGTTTCCATTTACAACGTATCACATTGCTCAACCTCTGCCACAGAGATGAGATGGGAAACTCCGATTCAGAGTCCAATGTGGAGCCTGCCTTGCCGATCAGACTCCACTCAGGCAGTTGGAGGTGGCGACAGGAACCGTGGGGCTCAGAACCACAGCAGTTCAGTGGGGAAGGCCACAAGCTCGACCACAGGCTGAGCAGCACGCAACTTCCACCCTGCCCTCGGCTTCTGGGGACCTCCTGACCTAGAGCCACAGCCAGTTAACTCACCAGTGCAATAAAGACTGTTTCAAAGCCCACTGTCCAGCTCTGCTGAAGGGAACAAATCAGGTCAGTGTTTGGGACAGCGCCTGGTAGAGAGTAAGTACTACAATACTAAAATTGAAAAAAAAAAACCCTAAAACCTTATTTTTAATGAATTAATTTAATTCGTTGTGGCACAGAAAATAAGTTAACCTGAAATGTTCTCCAAAAAGTCCTTTCTCAAAAAAATAAAATAATAATAACGGGTTAGGAAAGGTATTCATGAAATTCTCTTCCGGCTCTATAAAAATCTATCAAGAATAGGCACATATAATTATGGGACTGACAAAAAGGCTATAATCTTTGTCCACAATGACTTTTGTTTAAGTCTCATTCCGCTGTTGAAATATAATTACCCTAAAGCTGGCACTGGTTTTGAGAGTTCTGGGTTCATGTGATGGTTCTGTATCCTGGACTGAGTTACATTAAGATGCTCAAAAGCTGCGTGCTTTATTTACTTTTTGGGGAAACTCATGTATTCTTTCCCCAAAGGGAGCATAAAACTCCTTTTTGACACATGTCCAAGACCAGACGTTAGCGGCATGTTCACGAAGATTCGAACTAACACCAGCTTACTTACGCTTAGTAAAACTGTTGCTGGATTTGGAGCAACTTATTTAATCTCTACGTCTAGTTGAACTTTGGCAAGCAAGGAAGGAGGAAGACAAATGGTCAGAGTCATGTTAGATGGCTAGTTGACAAGAGCTCCAATCGAGCAGTCTCTGCTATCGCCACCACCACCCACCATCCACCCACCACTCACCACCTGCCACCATCGCCACCCACCATCAGTTCCACCACCATTACCACCATCTACCACCACCCTACCACCACCACCACCTCCACCACCAACACTCATCACCATCACCACAACCTCCACCACTGTCACTACCACAAATACCACGTCTACCACTAACGCTACCACCAACCCACCCCTGTCAACTCCATTTGTCACGGATTGACTGTGAATTTGTCACTGCTCACCCCTTCTCTAGCTAGAACTATACTATCAGTCCAGGAAAATCAGGTGTAGCATAAAATTAGTCCTAATTTAAATGTAGTCAGATTCCACTGAATAAGGATGGTCCTATTTATTGTCATCTCTAACTGAATTATAAGGAGGCATAACAAAGCCAGGTTAATCATTTAAGATATTTAATTCTTCAGCCTTAGAAAGCCTCTGTATCTGAATAAAACAATTACATGTTTTAAATTCTTTCCTAACTTAAAAATATTCAAAGATAGTTGCACTTTTATTTTGCCTTATTTCACTACCGATGTAAAGGCTTCTTTATAAAGTAATTGGTATTAAGTTTCAAAAGTGAGACTGTGATAAACCCATGTCATGTCAGTGGGAAATAGAAGCTCACAGAATTTGGATAAAGCTCAACTCAAACCCCTTTAACACCTGTATGGTATGGGGGTATTTGATCTGTAGAGGGTAGAAAATAAAATAGTAGCATCTCTGAGGTCAAAATCACTGGGTTTGAAGCCTAACCCCACCATGTGCTTTTAATGAGACTTTGGCAAGCCCTTATCCTTCTAGTGCCTCTATAAAATGAGAAGACTAATGAGGATGATCTCATAAGATTGTCATAAAAATTAAAGGAGATAACAACACAACAGGGCTTGATACGCTTTAAACTGTTACAAAATGCTAGCTTTCTTCACTACATCCAAGATTCACCCACAGAGATAACTTGTTCATAAAATATCTGTTCAAAGCATATTATGCTCAAGGCATTTGCATGCATAAAGATACGAGATACTCCTACACCCTGCTCCCCCCAGAAAAATAGGATGGAGCAATTACTCTCTTTTTCCTAGAATGATAAGGAGGCAACTATCATTTCTGGGCTGAACAGGAGAATGGTAAGAATCGAAGAGGAGGATCCCAAACACTGCCAGTCCCTGGGCGCACTGAGCCACTCCAGATCTCTACGTTCCCTAGAAATTCTATATTTCATTAAGAATACCTTCCGAGACCGAAAATCCACAAGCCTTCGCTGCTAATATTTGAGGTACAATACAGGTAGAGCACAAGCGAGTCTGTCCAAGGAAGAGTGTATGTCCAAAGGGAAACAGAAATGGGGCCCCTGTTGTTGGATTTTCCATTGTAGATTGACAGAGAAATTGTCATGAAACCAAGAATATTGCTATCAGGTGCCAACGGGTTGATTTTAACTCAAAGAGACTCACGTGACGGAGTAGAACTACTCCATAGGGTTCCTTGACTATAAGCTCTATGGAAGCAGATCCTTAGAGCCTCTGGGTGGGTTTCAGTTAGCAGCTGAGACCCTTGCTATTGGTTCTCCCAGGGCTCTTCCCAAGTGCATTAGGCAGGAGGGTGGAGCTGGGGGGGAAAGAGGAAAATGGAAGGCTCGAACTACTTAGTGGTTACAGGAAAGAACATAGTCCAGGGCAATACGGAGACACTGTCTAGTCAATATTGAAAGATATAACATGAGTAGAAAGACAAATACCACTTATGAATTGTTCTGTGTACCAGGTACCCCAGTAAACATTTTCAATATAATCATTCATTCACTCTTTCCAATACTCGATAATGTAGATACTATCGTTCTAATGTAAGCGTGAGAACATTGATTCATTGGGAGGTTAAATCTCTGCCACGTCATCCAGCTAATGAGCTGTAGGGCTGGCATTGGAATTCATCTAAACACTCCTATAAACCTCCCTGCCATCTGTCAATGCTGACTCACAGAACCATATAGGACCCTTCTAATGCCTCTATAAAATGAGAAGCTTAATTATGATTACCTCATAAGACTGTTGTAAAGAGTAAAGGAAATAACGCAAGAGGGCGTGATCCACTTACAGCCCCTGTGGGTTTCTGAGACTAAATCTTTATGGGAGTAGACAGCCTCCTCTTTCTCCTGTGGAGCTACTGGTTTTGAACTGCTGAATTTCTGGTTAGCAGCCCAATGCATAACCAACAGACCACCAAACACTGTGACCTAGTGGGAATTATTGCCTTTAAGCAGGAATTGACATATAATGGAACAATGGCTAAAGATGATTTTTAGAAGGAATTGCCATCATCTACACAGAATAATTCCAAGGCAGAAGGACAACTGCCCATTTAAAAAGAAAGGGGTGGGGTGGGGTGAGGAAGATGGCCTTCAAAGTCCAGGTTTGTAGTTTGGATCTGATTTTAAATTTCAATATTTTCTGAAGGCATTAGGTGTGGATTTGCTTGTTCTATATTCGATGAAACAACTGGAAGCATCGTCAGATCTTTTTTGAAGTTAAAAGGAGCTTCAAAACGAAAAAGGGACCCAAGTCACTTGCAAAATATAGAGATAAAATACTGAGAAGTACAGCAACGCCGGAGGCATCTTGGGAGCGCACAAAGCCACCTTCTTGCAGGCGGCTGAAATGGGTGGAGAAAATTGCCATTCAAACCCAGAACACTGTGCCTTTTCAACGAAGCTTTGCAGTTTCAGGGGGGTAAGGGCAGGCACTAAGTATTAATTATGTTGTTGGCGTCTCTCCATTTTGCTAGCCAAATGTGTGGGGAGCAGAAGAAATTGCTTCTATAAGCAGCTTTGGCAGGCAGGGGTTAAAATACATGTGTGTAGATTATGTAGACGAATGCGGACATTCAATTAGGTACGTCAACATGTCATTTATGGTACTCGGCGACGTTGCTAACATATTTCTTCCTTGATCCCTAAAACCTCTTAAAAGAAAACGAAAGCTGTGCCTTAGCTTGAAGTCAGAAAACCCAATGTCAACCGCGCTCTTCAAATCTGAAACGGTGACTTTCATTTCTGACTCCAGAGGATGCAGAACGCCAGGATGCACGCGATGACACACTGCCAGGATGCACGCGATGACACAATGCACGCGATGACACACTGCCGGGATGCACGCGATGACACACTGCCGCCATGCACGCGATGACACACTGCCGCCGGAGCTTCACTCGAGTCACGCGCACCTTTGGCATTTGTCTACTAGCCACTCCCACCCACAGGAAGGTATTTTTGTAAACATGCCATGCTATTTCTTTTTGTTGTTGTTGTTGTTCTTTACCAGGCTTTTATTATTTTATTTTTTTAATCGTTTTATTAGGGGCTCATACGACTCTTATCACAATCCATACATATATCAATTGTGTAAAGCACATTTGTACATTCATTGCCCTCATCATTCTCAAAACGTTTGCTCTCCACTTAAGCCCCCGGCATCAGGCATCATTTTCCCCCCTCCCCCCTCCCTTATGAGCCCTTGATAATTTATAAATTATTATTTTGTCATATCTTGCCCTGTCCAACGTCTCCCTTCACCCACTTTTCGGTTGTCCGTCCCCCAGGGAGGTGGTCACATATAGATCCTTGTAATTGGTTCCCTCTTTCCAACCCACTCTCCCTCTACCCTCCCAGTATCGCCACTCACACCACTGGTCCTGAAGGGATCATCCGCCCTGGATTCCCTGTGTTTCCAGTTCCTATCTGTACCAGTGTACATCCTCTGGTCTAGCCCGATTTGTAAGGTAGAATTGGGATCATGAGAGTGGAGGAGAAGGAGGCATTTAGGAACTAGAGGAAAGTTGTTTGTTTCTTCGTTGCTACATTGCACCCTGACTGGCTCATCTCCTGCCAAGTCATGCTATTTCTTTTAACAGCATCACGCTGTCAGATTTTTAAGGAATAAGAGGCAAATATGAAAACAGCTTTAGTTGCTTAAAAAAAAAAAGGATGGTAAGAACATGTTGGTGGGAAAAAAATTCTTCATGAAAATTGAAAGAGATCCCTTTTCTTATGAAGAAACCTTAAAAATGATCAACATGTTGACACTTTAAGTAGGTAAGTTTCATCTTTAGGCTGTTTTATGAACCTTAACTATGAATCTGCCTATCATCTCTGTGGGGAGAAAAAAGAGTGCCATTTTCTGGAGTTCCACAGGCAAGGGTGTGAAATCCGAGGCTGCCCCTTCCCCCTTGCCAAGTCCAATCTCTATACCACTACCTCAACTGCCCTGCCTCCTACAACCACACTGGCTTTTGAAAGTCAGGAACCAAAATAAATCAACCATGCTGTAAAGAAATATATTTATAAAGAGCCCTGGGGGCACTCTGGGTAGGCAATAGGCTGCTAACCACAAGGTTGACTGTTCACACCCACTAGCCAGGCCACGGGAGAAGGATCAGGCCGTCCACTCCCTTTAGTGAAGCTTTACAGTCTCACGGGGACTTGCAGAGTCAGGGTGAACCGGCTGGATGGCATTGGTTAACTCTTTCTAGAAAACGAAGATGCAAACTACAGCAATTAACAGAGACTCTCGAAGAAATATACATGCCTTGGGTGGCAGGTTACCAAACATCCTAGTCACAGAAAATCTAAAGGGTGACAAAAAGAAGAGCAATCGATTCTTCCTGACTTACATGCTGCTAAACATGAAATGGCAAAGGGGGGTGGGGGGGTTCAGGTTGGGGAAGAGGAGGACTTGGAAGAAAGAAGAGGAGGGAGGGCCCTTGAAAAAGCACTTGAACATTATTTTCGATCCATAATCTCCCAAAATTCTGATACTTTTACAGTTCACAAAAAAGGAAACCAACATTCAATTGATGTTTCATAAATTCGCAAATAGTCGTCAAATGAGGGTAACTTACACAGACCAGAAGAATGTCCCAGCTTTCACCCCTTGCTTAGTGGCTGTAATCCATAGCTAAGGAGGAAAACAGAAGAGGCTTAGAATGCATGTTTTGAATCTGTTTAGAATCTGTGTTTTGGTCAAAAGAGAAAAAGGCTTTAAAACGCATTACATCAGATCACTTACATCGTATGTACGCCCCAATCACACATTTCACCTCATTTGCGACCTTTTTTATTCCCACATCTGGAAATCAGAATCAGCATTTCTATAACCATTACTCATTATGTTTTCTTCCAGAGTTCTCAAAAGACTCACTAGGGTTCAAATGGTATATGTGGTTCGCAATCTTAATTCATCTTAAGCACCTCTCTCTTCTACCCCTGACTTTTCTCATCGTTGTGTTGGGTATTTGGCTGGTGTAGCAAAAGTCTGCTCGTCAAGGCATCCAGGAGGGGACCCCGGGATAACTATGGTCTTCAGAGACCTCGATTTGCACACCAAGACCAGCACCCTCGGAGCCAGGAGCCTCGCTCTCTTGTTTAGTTTTGCACCCAAGAATAATAAGAAGACGGGGTCCATCTTGAATCTGGATTTTCCCTGGATTTTTCAGCAAATGACATTTTATAAGTGAATGGATCCAATAACTTAGGTAAAACAACTATTTTACGAAGCCTTTCGAAATTTTCTTCGGTACGGTGCACTCCATGGGGAGGCAGAAGATACGTTGGTGAAGAACCTGGCTTCTGCATCCAGAGAGGCTGGATGCTGAGCCTTAGCCCGGTGCCTGGCTAGCCACATGCTCCTCCCACAAGTTGGATATCTGTCTTGTCACTTTCTTTTCAAACAGAAATCACATGACCCAGCACATAAGATTACTAGAAACTTTAATGAGCTCAGACATATCAAGTTCTTACCACAGTCTCTCAGCGTTCATTAAACGTTCAATCTATTTTAGTCTTTTTATTACACAGGAATGAAAACAAAAGTAATCTAGTTGTTCTAGGAACATGAAAAACAATTTCTAGAGAAGCCAGTGTCACCTCACACAGAAATGTGCAAAAAAGAACCTCATTCACATTAAGGAAGAGAACGCAGGCAACACGAGAGAATGGTGGCTGATTTGTTCTAAGATCAAACAAAAGGGTCCAAGATTGGCCGGCTATCTCTTTCCAGTTTTGGTGTTCTTAGATTTTGAGAATGTTCTGGCGTTGTGAGTTGTGTAAGGGGGTAACTTTGAGATGCGCTGCACCCAGGAATCTGGCCATGGCTGCAGAAGGGTCTGGGGCATTGAGCCTGGGAGAGCTCAGTAAGAGTCTAAGGACCAAGCGCTGTGTGGTTGTTACTGCTGGTCCTTACGTCCCTTTCGGTGCATGCTGATCCCCCATTGGACAGAGTAGAACTGACTCACGGGGTCGTCTAGGCTGCTATCTTTGTGAGTGATTGAAAATATCAATGAGTTGGGTGAGGGGCACTTTAGTCCTCAAAGTGACATCTTCATGGGACGGAATGATGCAGCAGCTATAACAATGCGCTCGCACAGAATAGCCATTGGTGAGACGGTGCAGGACAGCACAGTGTCTCGTTCTGTTGTGCATTGGCCCACAATCTAACAACAGCACCTAACAACAACAGTTGTTATGCAAGCAGCCCACCAAGTCTTTAGCCCATGAAACTGCCAGGTATTTCAGACAGTCCATTTCAGTTACTAGGCAAACGTGTCATTGTTGTGCCTCTGGAAGTTCCCAGAGCTGAGAGTCGCAGCTGCTGTCAAGGGTCAGCAGGAGTGGGGCGGGGGGAGCAGCCTGTGCAGACCCATCCGGTCCAGACCAGACGACTGGTGGATTTCACCAGCATGTGATGATGGGTGGACTGGTACTGGCTTACCAGAATCTCTGCAATGCATTAGAGAGAGAACTGACTCATCATTCTGAGCACACTCCATTTGACATGGTCTAACACATCCTTATGCTTCATGGGCAAGCTCTAGCCAGCTGTGGTGTCCCCGGCCCAATTGGTTTCAAAAATGTCCTGCAGTTCAAATCCTTCTTCTTTGGGAGTTTTCTTTTGTGTTTTTCCCTTGGTGGGGAGGAAGGGAGTATAGTTTTCTGTTTGTTTTGTTTTAATGTTTTTGTATTGTGACTTGAGTGAAAGTTTAAAGAGAAGATTGATTTTCCCTTCAGTTCATTCGTACACATCTTGGGGCATGGCACTGCTGGTCATCCTCACAAGGTCCCAGCACTTTTCCCACCACCCACCTGTGGTTACTGTACCATTCCTCCTTCTTTCCTCCTCCTTCCTGCCTTCTGGTGTGTCTAAGGAGTGCATACCTCCCTGGTATTATTGGCCATCCCATAGGCCTATTATTTGGCTAAAAGCTGAGCCACCGGTGTGAAGTTCACGTCAAGGCTTGAAGAGTGATTAAGGGTTCCACCGAGGCTGCATCCATCTCAATCCAACCAGGAAGTACCTGGTGTTTTCTATGACCTGGACTTTTGCTCCACATTTTTCTCCCACTTTCTGAGCTGTCAGTCATGGTCGTCGGGCACCCTCTAGGTCTTCTGGTCTCAGGGCTGTGCAGGCCAAGGGTTACATGTCCATTTATCTTTGGAACTAATTGTTTCCATGTGAGTTTGATTCCGTCTTGTTCCAGCTCCGCTGCCCACAAGAAGATGAGCTCAGGTGGAGTCCTGGACATCCTGCAGTGGTTCCGAAGCAGGCCAGGTCACGAGTGCCAGTGTTACAGAACATTATCTCTCTGTATGTTTATTTCAATTGGGCTAGCACAAACTGCGTAGATTCATATGCCCTAGAAAATTCAGAGCCTCGTTATTTTCAAGGGAATTGTACTAGGCAGGATGGAGAATCTAGGAAATGTAAGGTCAATCTGAAGCTTTATAAGGGAAATATTTTGAGTATGTTCATAATTAGCTGGTAATAAAGTTTGTCAAACGATGATTTTATGCTTTCAAAGAGCATACTGGGGAGCATATGCTGATGTTGGCATTTTCTGGGCAACAGCGAGTGCTATGATGCATTTTTTGTTCAGTAGCTCTCAGGGGAAATTTTACACAAGGTGACCTTTAAACAATTACAAGGATAGAGACTGCACCAAGAAGACTGGAACTATTCCTGTAGGGGAAGTCGGGGTCATATTTTTCTCTACACTGTTCTTCACTTTCGGTAATTTTTATAATGAGAAGTGACATCTTTTCAATCAGAAAGAGATTAACCAAATTTTAAAAGCACTGCCCAATATAAACGTGAAGGGAGATTTTTTTAAAACTGTATTTCTTCTCAAAAAAATCAATAGAAAGTTTCTCCCTGATTCTTTATAAAAATCTTGTTGGCCAAGACCCCAAACAAACAAACAAAAAAACATATTTTTGAGAATAAAGGGGATCAGAGCAGAGACCCCCAAACCCATGTGCAGACAATGGGACATCCCATACAGAAGGGTCACAGGTGAGGGATGAGTCAACCGGGACATAGGATAGCACACACAATATTCCTCTGGTTCCTTGAGGCTTCCTCAGCCCCTACTATCATGACCCCACAGTCCTGCCTTTCACTGCGGGCTAGACTGGAGCATGTGCACAGGTACAGATAAGAGATAAGGGCTCACGAGACACGGGATCCAGGAACAGAAATTAGAGTAGCGATACCAGAAGGGTAAGGGGAAGGTGGGAAGAAGAGGGGAGGCAGTGGGAATGGATCACAATGATTGATACATAACCAAACCACACCTGCAGGGGGGCGAGCAACAGAGACCATGGGAGAAGGGAGACACCGGTCAGTGTAAGACATGAAAACAATAATAATTTATAATTTATCAAGGGACCATGGGGGGAGGGGCCCTAGCTGATACCATGGGCTCAATAGAAAGTAATTGTTTAGAAAATGATGGACACATAGGTATAAATATGCTTGGTACAATTGATGTATGGATTGTTATAAGGGCTAGAAGAGCCCCCAATAAAATGATCTTTTAATTTTAAAAAATCCTGTTGGCCATATTTTCTCAAAGACAGTTGGGAGCATGGTCAGAAAAGTGTAAGTGACAAATAAGAGAAAATATTTGAAACGAAACCACATCACAAACCCTCCAACAAAAGAACCCTAGCGGTGGAGAAGCTGGCCTGTCTCCGTGTAAAGCAAATGCTTCAAGACGGGGGCACCCTGAAACCAGCTTCTTCCGTCCCGGAGTGAAGAGCTAGCCGGCCACTGGGCAGGTGTCAGGGCCTCCATGGGCATCAGTACAGATTATTGCTAGAAAATCATAGAGCTCTTGATTAGAAATATAAAAATGTTGTATGTTTATTAGCTCTCATCCTATCCACCACGTCCTCCATCCAGGTGTACTCTCGAAGGCGGCGTTTCTCTCTCCCATCCCTCCCTGATGAGTGTTGTGCTGGTCGGCGAGTTCACCCCAGCAACCTGGCAGCTTTCAGCACTGGTTCGAGGACGTACATTTTGATCCTTGAAAATGTTCTCTGAGTTTGGAGAACAAAAAGACGTCTGAAGGGGCAGGATCCGGGCCAGAAGGCAGGTAGAGTGAGATTCCTAACCAAACTTTCATGGGGATTGCTCCCACGACCTCGAGTAAGGAGCAAGTCTCACTGTTGTGGTTGGAAGAAAATTCCTTGGTGCATCTTTCCCCTTATTTCCTTTTTTGAATTATTAATTTCGTTTCCATTTTCTTCAAATATCTTCTTAATAAGAGCCCGTGATTTTCCGGTGTTCTTCAGGAAAAATCTATCCAAGTGATCCCTTCGGAATCTCAAAGAATAGTCACCATCATTCTCTGGGCTGACGTGACTGACTTAGATTTCCCTTGGAAGTCACTGGTCTCGTGTTTGCACGTACTCCGACAGGCCGAAGACAAGCCGTGATGGACAGAACTCGTCTGCGTCATCCACTGATGGCAGAGGCACAGCTAAACACGGCTGCTGTGAAATCAGCCCAGGCCTGTGGGAGCTGGACCCCTGTAGAGGTGGAGCCTTCCTATACAGGGCTTGGAAGTTAAACCTCAGCATTGCTAAGGGGAGAGAGGGAAGCGCTAAACATTGGTTGGA